TCCAACTCTCAGGTCCCCGGCTTAGGTTTCTGGTTTGATTTCCAGTCCAGGGAGGTAGAGGCAGCTATGTGCTGATTCTTGGCACCACCTTGTGGTCACATCTAGATATTGCATATTCCACCCCATTCCACAAACGGATGGAAACTGACATTTACACAACCCTGTCTCGGCTTCAAATCCTAGCTCTATCTCTTTACAGTGAGATCATGAGCAAGATGATCAACTTGAAAGGGCCATGATAAAGTGTTGTACAGCCTACCATAATTAGAACAACTGAAAGAGGATCAAAGAATGGAGTGAAATGTAGAAAATAACAAAAATGGAGGTGTACGTAGTTTTTTTCATCTTAATATTACCATAATTTCATTATAAAAAAACAAGGAATCATCAAAAGTGAAAGGCAGGGGCAGAGAGGAAGGTAGAAAGCCTTCGAACCATTTGGCGGTACCAACTCAAATCCATTTCAGTCTCTGATCTCAGCAGCTTGGCCCAAGTACCAAGTAATCTGAGGAGACTTAGGCCCCACCAACCGAAGAGTCTGTTTCTGAACTCCACCGTGTTTCACTGATTAGGGGGTGAGAGGAAGATGGAAATTTATTCCAGCAGCAATACCAAGCTGACTTTGGGCTGGAGTGGAGAAAAAAGCATTACACACTCAAACCCCAACATCCTTAGCAACAGTCCTTTCCAAGCGCCTCAAAGGTTTCCCAAACGGGAACATAGGAAGGGCCTATGATAATGAAGAGTGCCAACTGCACCTCAGAATCAGTGGGAGCTCGGGCAGTGCCCAGCTCCTCCCACCCTGACCTGCTGCCCCAGCTACTCCAGGCCGAGCCCTGAAGATGCTCCCCAGGGATTCTGAAGCACACACCCTGATAAGAACCAGATGATCCATTATGTACAGCACTTAGCTGAGTGAACTGACCCCAAAGTTCCTCTTTGGGCCCTCTCTTATGTAAAAACAATCATGCAGGGGACATAAAACAGGATTTTAGAGATACACAAACTGAATCTGCCAAAAGCTATAGCCTCAGAAAAGAAAATAATATATAAAATCGTCTTAAGCACATCAAGTAGTTCCCAAAGTTGACAGTGCATCAGAATCACCTGGGAAAGCTTTCTAAAAACATTGCCGGGTAGCCCGGTGCTAGTCTTTCTGAATCAGCACCTCCAATAGTGGGGTTCCCAGGTGATTCAGCAGAACCAGCCCGTGGGCTGGGAACCTTGGCTTTAGTCTGTGCTCATTACCAAGGAAACAGAGGCTGTTAGATTAGCAATTTAAACAATAACGGCTGCCAAATGGAAAGACAAAGAGCTTCAGGGTATGGGTTTAAGTCAAATTATAAATGCCAACGTTAGTCATGCCAGCAGGAGACAAAACCTCCTTGAAGTGCCTCCCCTTACTCAGGATGCAGCCTGACCTACGCCCCAAGTCTGACCCAAGCAACGCTGACCGCTGCTGGCAAAAGAGGCGAGAGTTGGTGACATTTTTTTGTCTGTGTTACATCTCAAGGTTGGCAAATAGCTGGCATGAATGCTGCTGCTGCCCCCTTTGGCCCCATGTCCATGGCAGACATCAATAACGGACTGTGGCACTCTTTCCCAGGGAACCCAAACAGAGCCTCAGTCTCCCCCTGAACAGAACAGACTGCCACTGCTGAAGATGGGAGCTGGCAGGCGAGGCAAGGGCTATGTGCCCTCCCTGTTCTAATATGGACACAGCTCAACAACTGGGCTAGGCACACCTCTCTGCATGCCATGGACACCACACCAATCTCCAAGGAAATCCAAGAGACCCCTGAGGAAACAATGCACCTCCAAAGCAAAGCAAGTGTTTTCCTTTTCAATGATGCACCTGCAGTTTTGAGGTAAATGTGGCAAGTTTTTAACCTGCATCCTAAGGTCCATATTGACATATCAGAACTACCCAACAGACAAGGCCCTGTGCTGGGATGGACCTCCTCCACAGAGTCTTCCCCAAATACCTCACTCTGAATTCATGAGTCCCTTCACACTGGTTAGGTTCTATTTGTGCCCATGTCCCCTAAAAGGCAGCAAATTCTTTGCCGGAAACCCTAGAAGCCAGTCTTAGAATGCAGACACACATTCACGAAGTGAGAGCAAAGACGACACAACAGGAATTGACCTCAAATCTCGACTGGAAAATGAATCAACAACACTGAGGAACAAGGACGGCTGATCTTTGATCACCTGCAGGGGAAAGGAGCACACATGAAATGTCTGGTCTTCTAGGCCATTCTGGGCTCTCCTGGCTGTATAGACTGGACAAGATAAATGACGTGTAAGTCAGGGACACACATCACTCAAACACTGAATGTGTGTGATTTCTATTAAGTCTCTATCCGGCTCCTGGAGCTCCCACACCCTGGGCTTTCTAAAGCAGCAATATTTTAAGAAAGAGCTAAACCTCACAACTGAAAGTCAGATTTTAATGGAAACTTTGGTACCACAAAATTAAAATTAAAAAATATTGGATGTTTTATAAGATCTGATTACCACTGACATGAAAAAGAACCAACAGAGTATTTACTTCTAAGAAGTGGCTCATCCATCCTAGTACATTATCAGAGGCACGAACATCAGGGAACACCACTGAGGAGACAGCCTCAGTGAAACTGAGTACAGAGAAGGATGCAGGATAAAAAGGTGGGAAAGGCAAAATACACAGGCAGGTTAAAAAATGATTAAAACTTCAAAGACTGATCTGAGGACTTAGGCTAAATCAAAGAAAGTAGGATCATAAGTGTTATTATCCAGTTCCGGAAATGGTTAAGCTATAGAAAAGGCCTGACAGGAAATTCCCACTGAGCATCAGCTAAAAACAGATACCTAGTAAGGATTAACCTAGAGCTAATGAAAGACCGATGACTCGCAAGCTGAAAGAAAAAATGGGATGAGATGTCCAGGAGTCACCCACTTTCACTTCCAAGAGTTTAAAAGAACATTATAAGTGACAGGGCTACAACCAAGACATATTTAAGCTGAATAAAATGTGCCTAGCTTGGGTATATATTCCTAAACTTTAACCACTAAGAAAAACTCATTCTACATTGTAAACTATATGGAGCTTTATTCTGATCACCCATCAGCAAACCATTGCTAATATAAGAAATTCTAAAGGTCTTTTTCTTCACTCAAGGGAATATCATTACAATTTCAGTCCGTCTTCAAAGATCAGCAACAAGAAGTAACAAAATATACAGTGACTGGAAGTTCTAAAATGTTCTTAATATTTCTCAATTCTGAGCATTTTATTTTCTTTTAACACTCCCCAATCCAAAGAGTACCAAAGGAGATGTAGGACAAACATTTCAATGTGGATATCTGCAGTTTAACAGCCTTAATAACTGTAGCTGTAGAATTTTAAGAGCTGTAGTATTTTGGTGGCAATTAGAGTTATTGATATTTCTGAAATTCATTTGAGATTTACTGTAACTTGAGCAAAAAAATGGCTTATGCTATGGCTTTGGAAATAATAGTTTTACAATCTTAACATTATTAAGAAAAAACTTATTGCCATGAAATCTAAAAAACCCACATCTAAAATTCAATCAAAATAAATTGCTCTTTATCAAAATACTGATATATTTAAAATATATTTAATATTGACCCAATTTAATGGAAAGAATGTATTGCTCCATTTATAATCAACATGTTGAGATTAACACTTTTATTAATTTTCTACAGTAAAGAAAAGGCCTGACACTGCTCACTGTTCAAGTGTTAAGAAACAGCCCTCAAACCACTTTACAGATATTAAATATACAAAATAAAGTTGCAATGAGAAATGACACATTTAAGCCACTCCTCAACTGCATATTACTACACAAGGTACTACTAATGTGAGTGTAACAGCTCTGAAGAGCTGGATTTAGGTCACAGGTGCTCAAATTATTTGTGAAAAGAATATGCTGCATCTACTTTTAAAAGGTTAGGGAATGGACGTGGGTCCTCAGCAGTTCTAAATAACAGAAGAAAAAATATCAGATCAATCTTCATTCACAAAAGCCAGTGGAAAGCTACAAGAAATACAATCAACTAGGTCTCCCTACATTGAGTAATAAGAAAAAATTGTTGAGAATTGGGAAAAAGCCATCTTGGGAGCAATTAAAAAAGTAAGCTGTTAAAGAGATCCCTTTATCCCTTTCAGTTTCTTAGCGCTCTTAGTAAGCTACCGTGTGAGACTTGAGGGTAGGGTCATGCTCCGAAGGACATGGTGGAGAAACCTGCAGCGGACAGACTGCTTCTCTTGGCTCACAGAAAATGTGTGGCAATGTGCAATTTTTTCTTGACTTCAAAATGCGGTCACCTTCCCTTCTATCTTACCTGCGTCATGTACTGATAAAGCCACGGAAATAAGAGCCGCAGTCAGGCTCTAGCTTAAAAAATGACAGCAAACATGAAGTGTATGCTGTGCATAGGAAGTACATTTCTGGTATGACAGCAGTTTATAATTCTGTAGATAACTACTTTTGCAAGACAAGGAAGGAGGGATTTAAGAAAGCGAGCTTATTCTTTCACACGTTAAAGCCTAAATTTCAGCTTTTTTGGAAAGAAAGTCCTCTAAAATTACTTCCCTGCTTCAAAAGAAAAAACAAACCACCCAGCATACACTACCTAAGCTGATCTTTTCCTCCTGAGCCTCGCTGCAGGGCAACCACTCTCAGCGGAAAGGCACACAGCTCACGCTTCGGAACTCTGCATGCCTCTTGCCCCAGGCCTTCCCCTAACGTTTTCTTCTTCGACTTGCCCACAAATCTGAATGAAGACCCAGAGGCAGAAGCATTTTGGGTCAGCTCCACCAAGGACTCAGGGGCTCTGCTGGTTCTAGCAGGCTAAGGCTACAGGAAGCCCAGGCTTCGGATAAACGGATCCAGCTTAAATATACTAAGCTGGATCTAGAACTCCTATTTATTAATAAACCTGCCGCCTAAGATAAAGCAAGCAGAACAATCTGTTCACAATCTCTGCAGACTGACCTTAACCGCTGCTTATAACAATCTTCATCTCCGTCGTCCCGGCGTCTCACCACTTTCCGACCTCCTCCTCCTCCTGCGGCTTCAGCTTCATCCCCAGAACTTGGAAAAAAGTCATCATCAATCTCCGGCACTGTGACCTTCTTCCCCAGCACTGTGACCTTCTTCTGCCATTTTGGCCGCTTGAGCACAGGACTCAATTCACAGTCAGTGCCTTCTCCGGACAAGTCGGCCCCCGCCGCCTCCTCCCGCTCCTCCTCCGTGGGTAAGTACTCGGACTCTTCACTCTCAGAGTCCCCCTCTGCCTTTGGCCTCAGATCAGACTGCAAGGGTTTCCTTCCCTTCAGCAGTCCCACTTTCCCCTGGAACTGAAGAGCCCTCTTCTGGAGTTTCCTGATGTGCTTTTTCAAGCGCTTATCTGTTTTTGAGAGAACTTTGCTTCCCTCATTTGGTTTGTTTTCATTGAGTGTTGGGCTCAGCTCAGAAGTGACAGAAGCTGGAGCTTTTCTAGCTGCTCTTTTATTAAAAGCTTGCTTCTTCCTTTCAAAAGACAGTTTTGCTTGATCTGCCAAATACTTTTCAAAGCCTGATGCTTCATTGAGCATTAGTTTTCTAGGCTTCTTCTCCTGTTTCTGAGGGATCTGGGTACCAAAAGGTGTCATCTGGCCAGTGCGGATGAGCTCCTCCCAAGCAGTCTCCTGGACAGGCATGAGCATGCTGCCGAGACAGGATGGCCCTGGTTCTGAAAGAGGGATGACAATGCATTGGGCTAGCATGAAACTGTTCAGGAGGACACCGGATATATTCACTTGTTCAATAAACACTAGGCACCTAAAAATAACTCATATTAAAAAAAACATATTGATGTACTAAAGCACATTATATATGAAGACTAGAGCAAAATTTATAGCATTCATCACACCACATTTAATATACTCCTGCTCAAAAAGGTGATTTCTCAATAACCTCTTCCAAAATACTGCATTACAAATATACTCTCTGTGCATCCAAAGACACGCATATTCACATGTACATACAGACAGATAAATTTAGCTGTTTCCTTATTAATTAAAGCATAGCCAACGAGGAAGCAATCTCCCAAGTTTCTATGTCATTGCTAATACCAACATTCAGATGGACTCAAATTCAAGAGACAGGAAGTGAAAACAGACACCTAAAGAATCACAGCATGCACCTACCTGGTAAAACATAAACATTAGCTCTGCACTGCCCAATATGACAGTCACCATGTGGTTATTTAAATTTAAGGTGAAAATTCAGTTCCTTGGTTGCACTCAACAGACACATTTGGCTAACGGCTACCATAACGGACAACACAGACAATGTTTCCGCCATTGCAAAACGGTCTACTGGATGGCAGTGAGTTAGATGTGTGAAGTTAACTGCCTAAAGAGATGAACTAAAATTGGAAGTTAAGCCATAATAATCATCAGAAATCATCCCTTTTTCATTAGTTGAAATTAATCTCTGGCAAAATTACTTTATCCACAGCCAAAATATGAAAAGTAGTAAAGCTTAACAGGAAGGAATCCAAATGCTAAAATCTTTGTTTCTTGTAGGCCAATAACACCACAGCAAGTTTTTCATTAAACTTGCAGTGAAGAAAAATATGTATCAGAAAGTGCACAAATCCTAAGTGTACCACTCAATGAATTTTCAGAAAAAAAATATACTCATACACCAGCATCCATATCAAGAAACAGAAATTATCAGCACTCCCCGATGTGCCCTTCATGGCACCTCCCACCCTCTACCCCACTGCAAGATAATGACTGACCTGACTATTAACACTGCTGTAGACAAGCTGTACCTGGCTTTGAACTTTAGGTAAAGGGAAATATTTGTACTCATGTCTGGCTTCTTTTGCTCAACATTATGCTTGTGAGATTCATACTTATTGTTGATTACAGTTGCAGTTTGTTGTTTACCACTGCTGTTAGTATTCTATTATGTAACTATACTACAATTTTTCCATCCCACTGTTAATGAACATTTGTGTAGTTTCCAGGTTTTGGCTACTAGTAATAATGTTGCTATGAATATTCTGGTACACATCCTTTGGTAATACATGTATATAATTCTTTGGGTCTGTTAAGCTTCAGCAGACACTGCCAAACAGTTTTCCAAAGGGGTCCTATCATTTTTAAGTTCCATCAAAAGTGTCTGAGAATTTCAATTGGTCCACATTCTTGCCATTTCATTTTAGCTATCCTGGCAGGTATGCAGCAGTACTATTTTGTGGTTGTGATTTGTATTTCCCTCATGACTAATGAACTACAGTACCTTTTCATAGATTTATTGATCTTTTGGATGGCCTCTTTTTAAAGAAAACGTTCAAGTCTCTTGCCCGTTTTTCTCATGGGCAATCTGCCTTTAAAAAAAAAATTTCTAGGAGTTCTTTACACATTCTGGACTCAACTCCTTTGACTGCAAATATCTTCTCCCACTCTGCAGCTTGCCTTTTCACTCTCTTACTGCTATCTTTTGATGAACAGAAGTTCTTAGTTGTACTATAGTTCATTTATCAAATCTTATCCTTTACAGTGAGCATTTTTGTCTTGTTAAGTCTTTGCCCCAAGACCATGAAAATGTTTCGCAATGTTATATTCTAAAAGCTGTTTTACCACTCACATTTAGATCTATAATCCATTTGGAATTTATTTTTGTACATGGTGTAATGGGCCAAGATTCATTTTATCTTCATGTGGATTAACTTAGCACATTTATTGAAAAGATGACGCTTCTCCACAGCACTGCACTGCCACATCTGTCATAAATCAAGTGACCATATAGGGGGAGGGGGTCTGTTTGCTGGACCCTCTATTCTGTCTCATTGGTCTGGCTATCCTTGGGCCAATACTGCACTGTCTCTTTACTATATTGATCATAGGTCTTGATATTTTGTTCTTCAAGATTGCCTTCACTATTCTTGGCCCAAAGCATTTTTATATAAATTTTAGAATCAGTTAGTTAACGTCTTCCACCCTTACCCCATACTTCCCACTCCACACCCTCTTCCTCAAAAAAACCCCTAAAATTTACATTGGGGTTGCATTGAAACTATAGATGGATAGAACTGACATCATTACAATATTACATCTTCCGATCCATGACCATGGTGTACCTTTCCATTTGTTTAAGTCTTCTTTAATTTTTCAATGACACTTTGTAGTTTTTAATGTAGAAAGCATTGCAGAAAACTACATTTTTTGCTAAGATTTATTTCTAGGTATTCAATTTTCATTATAATTGGCATTTTTATTAAATTTTATTTTTTGTTCTTGCTGGTATATAGATACATGACTGATTTTTATATATTGACCTTGTATTCAATGATACTGCTAAATTCACATATTAATTCCAAAAAACTGTCCATTGATTCTTTTGGATTTTCTACATAGACAATCGTGTATTTTGTGAATGATGACGGTTATTTCTTCTTTTCAATCCTTATGCTTTTTATTTCTTTTCTTCCATTACTACACTGCCCAGTACAATGCTGAATAAAAAAGGTGATAACGAGCACCTCATCTCATCCTAGATCAGAGGAGCAAAGCCAACTGTTGCAAAGTTGACCCACCTACTTCCAGGAAAGGATTCTTCATCAGATAATCCTCACAACAGCTTATGAAACAGATCACTACGTGGAAAACAGGGAAAGGAAACCTCAGGGAAGCACATGAGCAGAGAAATGAAGGTCTACTATACTTATACCTATCTTATGGATTCAAAACAGACTTGGGAAGGTTAAGGAACACAGCCAAAGTCTACACCTAGGCAATGCAGAGCTGGGGGGCACAAAGCCTGGGCTCCTACACTCGGTGCTACTGCCACCCCCAACAGCACAGATGGCACCAGGGACAAGAAAGAGCAGAGGAGGGAGGGCAATAAGAGACATCAGGAGTCTGAAGTGTGGGTTGGGGTCCAGATGGAGACATATATTAAGCGCCAGGAACTTGGAAAAAGGGCAAGGCCATAGGTCTACAGATTTGTAAGACACTAGACTCTAAGTGGCCGCAAAAGCCATGGGGAGTGGATGAGATTATTTGGGGAGAGGCAGTGAAGTGCGCTCAGCCTCTTATTATCCTAGGAATAACTAACATTTAAGATAACACCTGAAAAGCTGGCCAAACATAACTAATCAGAAATAGTCCGAGGACTGAAAAGAAAACCAGGAGAGAGACAGGGATCCCGCAAGGCACGGAAGTATCAGCTGCTACAGACAGGCCAAGGGGAGCAAGGGTGAAAAGGGGCTTTTGGATTTGGGGAAGTAGCTTTTAATCCTGGGCAAAGTTTCACCAAAGAAGCAATAGGAGGTGAAAGACAGCAGCAAGTTTCAGGCAGCCAGACAGGAACAAGAAGTCTGTTACCAATGAGAAATATGGTACCTCAGCTGCAGAAAGCACTGGTCGCAGACCCAATGAATTCTGACACTGAACTTTAAAAGCAGATCTCTCTAATATTTTTTTTCTATTGTCTCAATTAATTCTTCATAATTCTTTTGTCTTGTTAAATAAACTTCTGGAGCTAGCGGAAAATATTTGCTTGAAGAGCTTAAATGCTAAGAAGCGTTAATCTATATTTCAAGTAGTAAATGACTGAACGGCTACTAACAATTTCTAAACACACACACACACACACAAACACTGACTATAAAGATATTTCGTTTCAGAGCTTATGCATTTTCCCAAAAGGTTTTCCAAAAGACACCCATCCAAGGCAGCAATATAAACAAAATCACAGCCATGGTACAATATGAATGAAGATGTCTTTTCTTAAACAACAGAACTGATGCTTGGAAAGCTTGCCAAATATGTCCCAAAAAGGCATGTGAAAGCAATTTTAACAATGCTGATTGATGATGCGGGCTTACAAAATGTAATTCAATCAAGATGTTAGCTGTCTTTATGAAATTAACTACACAAGAATGTTAAGATATCTAATTTATTAAACATAATACTAAATATGCACCAGAAGCCTCCAGTAGACTGTGTTAAAAATTTTAATTTCATTCTCTAAAAACCCCATATGACTTAGAAGATTTGGTTCTGCAGGTGTAGAGAATAAAATTTTCCAAAATCTGTTTTGACACTAAGGCAAAGAAATGTATTTTTCTCAAGACCCAGGCCAGGAGTGAAGAGACACCCCACTGACTACAGGCATCAGGATCAATTCAAGAACAGAGACACTGTTCCCAGTACCCTCACCTGCATCCTCCTCCGCCACACTGGCATGATCGAGTTCAACTTTTACCTCTGCTCCTCCAAGGATGGCCTGGAGCCGCTTTTGTTTTGCTGTGATCTTCTTTAGCTGTTGTTCCTTAAATGGTAAATATTGAATACAGAAAACAGCAATGAAGTGATTTACTGTTAAATACAAAAGACAGCATTACAAAATTTAAAAACTTTAATCAAGAGCAAAATAAAAATAAAACAAATTCCATACATTTCTATTACTATAGAGAATCTTATTTGAGCAATTGCCACTTTTCTAGCAGAAAACAGGCCTCAAAGCATTCCCATCAGGCAGACATCCCTGTCCCCACCCACTCTCCTTCTGGGCGGCACAGCTTTCTGTGTGCCGAGCACTGAAGCTCATGGGTACTGACTCTCAGCTGACTTGGGAGGTAGAACTGTCTACTCAGCTCCACCCTTACTCACTGGGTCAATCACTCAACTTCTCTGTGTTTCTGACCTTAGCAGCCAAGGGGCTATGAGGTCAACAGGCTGCAGGGATAAGAAACATAAACATATCTGTTCAAAAGTTTAAACAGTTGAAAGTGTTGTCCTCTCGGACAACCTACCATATTTATGACTGTCCTTTATAGTACTCTACCCAATGACAACTTTTTAAAGGAAAATTTATTCGGATACTCTTACACCGCTCCTCCCAGACTCCTCTTTGTCTTGTCTCTCTCTATATCGCCAGAGCTCGGATATGGGCCCCTTCCTAGAGCCTCCCCAATTAATGAGGCCTATAGGACCTGGTTCTTGCCAAGGTCAAGAATGTTTAAATGTCAAATATGAGTGCAGGCGAGGGGAAATTCTGACTGTAAATGCCATGTTGTGATGATCTGCAGTTCAGTTTTCTCTTCCAGTCTTTCTCTCAGCAAAATCTCATTTAAAACAGCCTTTCTCTCTGAATAGTCTATCTCTAATCATCAAAGAGCTGCAAAAGAAAAGGAGGAAGGGATAATTGAGTTAGACTAGTACCTAAATTGGCCTAAAGTTTGCTCCTCTTCACTCCTTGAAAACCCAGCCCACTAGAAGCACAGGTCAGAGAATGTCTCTGCACATTGATTCACACGCTCCCACAAAAGGCCAGACGCCCCCTCTCTGTTTCGGGGAGACCCCAGCTGCCTTAAGCCACTGCTAGCTCTGACCTTGGGGCAGCTCTTCTGGAAGTAAGTGAGAGAAGAGGGGGTGGTGAAGATAACAGACTGGTGAGTAGAAAGCAAAAGGAGGAACTGAGTTTCTACACATCCCCACTAGCAGAGCTTAAATAAGAGATGCAAGGACTCTACTCACTGCAATGAACCAATTGCAAGCATAATGCTGTTAGTCATATTGGACGGCAGAAATAAAATGATCAAAACTAGCTATTCCTATCTACTACAATGTATTTTCATAAAGCACACATAAATTCTAAAAAGTGTTTCAAACCTCATAAAAACAATGTCATTAAGTAACACATACTCCCTACTCTTAAGTTCTACAACCCTAAGTGCAGACCCAGTCAGCGTGGCTGGGTGATGACTGTAACAGCCAAGGCCAGCCTCTCGGAACAGTGAGCATGAGAGTGTGAGGGGCGATGGCTGTCTCAACAGGAAACAGTGTAGACAACCAGTGCAAGCAGGAGCTTAGCAGAAAGAAATGCAAGTTCACACAGGTCAAGGAGCCTGAGTGAGAGGCTGGCATGCCCAAGAGGAGCCTAGTCTGGTCAAAGGAAACGGTGAAACAAGGAAGACCATGACAGTACACACAACAGAGGAGGCAGGCAAAGCCCAAGGAGGACCTTTTTCTCAAATATGTATGGATATGTGTGTGCGTATATTTTAAAAAACAAAGGATGCTAAAGGGAAACATCTGAAAAATTAAACATAAAAAAAGAACTCAAAATTTTCTATTATAAACATTTGCCTCATGTCTTCTAAGTACTTTTCAGGATACTTCCTAAATATTAAATGAACCTAAATGATGACTTTTTCAAAAATGCAATACTTAATGTGTTATTTGGAGTCACCTTATTATACTTCTGTCGTTTTACAGAATCTAGTTTCCTGTTGATGTCTCTGTTGGTGGCGGCTTGAGGGCTAAGCTGTTCAATAATTTTATTGATTTGCCTTAGGGATGTCGTACATGACCTGAAAAATAAGATAGAATGTCTGTTTTCCACTCTGGTAACATTTTTTATACTACAATATAAAGAGAGACATGCTAAAAACATGTCCCTTTTACTTCCTATTAACTAAAAGATAAAAGAAACTAAACCAGAATGCATGTTCTTGTTGGCCACAGAGAGAACTTGAAGGGTTGTCAGAAGTTTAAGACGACTACTCGTGTTTTTCTTTCATCTGCCTTATTTAAATTGGCTCATTCCCATTTGTAAGCTGATTCCTTCATTCTATAAGCATTTTAAATGTCTATTTTATTCAAGAGACTGGGCTAAAATAATGTGTAATTAAGTTGTCCTTTTATAAGAAAAAATGCATACATGGTTGTTGTGGGGTTTTTTTTAAGACTTTATTTCTAGAGCAGTTTCGGGTTCATAACAAAATTGAGAAGAAAGTACACGGATTTCCCATACATCCCCTGCCCAAAACATGCATAGCCTCCTCCATTATCAACAACCCATACATGGGTTTTTAAAGCCCATTATGGAAGTCTCCCAAAGTTTGGAAAAGAACTAAAAATGCTTAAACATTTTCTTATATAAGTCAGACATCTGTGACAATTTTTTTCTTTCACATGACTGGAAGACTTATTTGCTCTAGCATTACATTTTGTAGTGCAAAGAAAAAAAACCAATTTATAATACATTGCTCCTAAAACAGACACCATTGAATTGTAACTCCCAATTTTCAAAACACAAATTCAATCTGGACACTAGTGTAATTTGCTGTTCGTATCTTTTGTGTATTTCAGGATAAAAGATGTTATCAACGCAAGTTACTGGCAGTCTAAGGGCCACACGTCACCATCTGTCTAGTGTGTTAGCCTGCCTTGTGACTCTACAGCACTCTGCTCTGTCACCTCTGCATGGAGTGGACACATTTCCAAGGTCAAATGTAAAACGTGTGCATTACAAGGAGTTGAGGTTCTCACACTTGAAGGTCAGACTACACCTATTTGAGAACACTTCTTACTCAAGAGGCCAAGAGAACACACCAGGAAACTGTCAGCACAAAACATGTCCTTTACATGCCAACAGCCACCTGTACTATGACCCCATTGGGTAGCCAACAATCCACATTCCTTCCTCCTCTCCCCTCCCCCAGCCGCCCCCATCTGAGAGTACACCATCCTCCCACCCAGTCCTCTCCTTCTCTTTCTTGCTTGCCTGACACTGCCTAGAAGCCTGGCCAAGGGAGGGCAGACTGGCAATACCGAGGGAGTTCAATCCTCATCCCCTCCTTCTAGCTCAGGTCCAGAGCCTTCCCCTTCCCACCAATGTGTTACATTCAACAGAACTCAAGTCTGTTTCTCCCCTAAAACACATGAAGTCTCCACAAGACATCATCTTTCCTTATAAAGTCAAAAGTAGGACAGAAGAAAGGAAAAGCAAGGAGTTGTTTCTCATTATTTCTAGAAATGAGAAAAATTGGAAAAATTTGGAAAAATTTCCAAAAGACTGACACTAGGTCAGGCAACTGGAAAAAAAATTACAGCACAGAGGGAAATGTGAGGGGATGGATGTGTTCCTCATATCTTGAGTAGGGCACGTCAGAACTAGGTACACTTCTCCTGAGAACCATTTTGTACTCACGGTTGTGAGTTCTGGGGCACTAAGAACAGCACTTCTCTCCAGGACATTATGTGTAAACAGGTGGTTGTGAGCTAGACTGAGACCCTAACTACTGCATACAATGCTGCTCCTGGGGAAAAGGGTTGGGGTTCCAACACAAGGTCGAGGACTGCCCTTACGGACTCCATTCTCCAAAGAAGAGGTTCTATAAATCTCCTAAATTACTGGAATACCACAGCTGTTATCTGAATCTCTCCGTCATATGTAAACACAAACTCTGCAATCAGAGAGAAGATGGTCTACACTCACGTGAGGTCATCCAGGACTGATCGATACTCCTTCTCCGCATCGTGGAGCTGGGCCGCTCGGCTGGCCTCGTGGATGGCGCTGTCCACCTGCTGAAGCACACCTTGCTCCAGCACATCCTGGTCATAGACATCCACACCCAACCCCTGCAGTTCAAGGGCCTGCGCACTCGGCTCCACTGCCTGGATCTGATGTCTGTCAATATGCAGCAGGGCCGGCCCTCTCCTCGGAACTTCCGACAGACACCCCTCAGCAGAAGTGGATGGTCCAATGGCAGACCAACAAGCGGGGAGGCTTTCCTCCACCTCCGCATGGCCATCATGTTCTTGCTTGATCGCCATATCATTATTATTGACACACTGACTCTGTAAACATTCTTGCTCCTGAGTTTGACTTGGGTGGGGGGTTCTCTCATTTGGCATCCTCTACAGACTATCTAAAAGGAAGAAAATTTTCAATAAGCCTTTTGGTTACATAGAGTTGATATCTATATTGTTTCTTAAATATTTTATAATTAAAGCAGACTGATTTCTCAAAAGATCAATCAACAACCTTCCAACTAAAATTCAAGTTTCCAAGTAATATTTTTCTTAAAAAGGATACAAGCTATCCTCTTGAGTTATGACAACATATAAGAAAAATTAACCAAAGATAAAAAAGAAGAAAAAATGCAGTATCGTCAACAAAGGACATTTGGGTCGCGAGCTAAGAAAGCTGGCAACCAAAACCCTGAGTGACGCCCAAAGAGTCTTCAAACCAACTGAAGTCATCTGACAGCTGCTTTCCAAGGCAGCGTCTTCACTGCATTATGGCACAAGTAATTTACATTACAGCAGCACAATCAACTGTAATATATAGGTTCAGTGATGTAAGGAGAGCCTCTGTACAAATCTGACACTAGAGACTTTTAGGTTGAACATTTACTCCAATAAACAGAAACTCTGAACAAAAGATAACAGCACCACGCAAATCAGAATCTGAGAAAGGTTAAAATATTCTCAAAAACAACTCCACTTCAATGCGCAATATAATTTCCCCCCTCTGGGTTGACAAAAATGTAAAGCCTGATAATAACCAGTACTGACAAGGAAGATCCACCCTCACACAATGCTGGTGGGTATATAAACTAGTAAAGCTCTTTTGGAAGGCAATTTAGCAATATCTATCAAGATTTAAAACACACATGACTAAGTATTTATTCCAGAGAAATACATACGTACCAAGATGTTTACTGTAGCATGTTTTTAATAGCTTAATATAGGCATTAAACATTTTCAGTGGTAATGATATAAAAGTCTTGTAAAGTGAAGTCACAGTATAAATGAAATTTACGCTGAAAAATGTGAATCCTCATCTGTGTGTCTGGAATGCATTCCAAGTGACCTGGAGACACACACTAAACCTGCAACAGTTGGGAGGAAGAAGCATAAAGAACAGGGAGGAACAAAGGGGAACTTGCACATTTTACTCCATGTTCTCAGGAACTCCTCAAATGGAAATGTATTCATTATACTGCCTGTATAACTCTATATAATAAATACATTTTTTTGTGTGTGAGGAAGATCAGCTCTGTGCTAACATCTGCCAATCCTCCTCTTTTTTTGCTGAGGAAGACTGGCCCTGGGCTAACATCCGTGCCCATCTTCCTCTATATGGGACGCCGCCACAGCATGGCTTGCCAAGTGGTGCGTCAGTGCGCGCCCGGGGTTCCGAACCAGCGAACCCCAGGCCACTGCAGCGGAACGCACTTAACCACTTGAGCCACCGGGCCGGCCCCAATAAATACATTTAAAAGCAACATAATAACCAAGAGATAGCCTTGCTTTTTATTTAACTGTGAATAAACTAAGGTTTCTTTCAGCACTGCAACTTTATTTCTGTGAAATGACCACAAGGTCCCCCAATAAGCCCCACTCATTCCTCATTAAATAAAACAATCCCAGCAGCCAAGCACTGGGATACAAAGATGCCAGGATCTTAGCATCATCCTGCCCCGGGTGGCTCACTCTCTAGCAGACGAGAAGTGTGTCAATAACAACACAGTGGGGCCAGTCTGTAGGGGAGGCACAGACAACAGGCCATGTGGACACAGATGAAAGGACAATGCATTGTGTCTGGAGCTCAAGAAACATGTACAAGCTAAGATTTGAACACCAAACCCAGGGTCTGATACACACGAGGTGCTCAGTATATGCTGAAAGGAAGTAAGGTTCAGAGAGGCGTCTAAAATAATAAATCTGGTCTGGACAATGAGTCACTGGTGAATTCAGTCACGAAAGGGAGAATCTCAGAAAGGAAGCAAATGGGAAGCAGGGAAGAGGCTGGTGGAGAATTTATAAGCTGCCAGTAACATGTCCAGCACACAGCCACAAATGCACATCTGGGCTCAAGAGAAAGGTCTGGACAACATGTGGATGCATCAGCAGAGTGGAGCAAACAGCCCCAGGCATCCCAGGGCTATTATGGGTACCAGAGATCCTTTAAGAGAGTCAAAAGAGCCTAACATTGAAAGGGTTAAAGGTGAATAACAGAGAAAGTAAGTTCCTCCTTTTTTGGGCCTTCTGATTATTTTCAGGAGAAAGGATCAACTTGATGCACTATCATCAGCTAGTCTCCATTTTCAACAGAGAGGGCAGGATTCCAGCTCAGGGCCTTCATACTAGCTGGAACTTAACAACCCTGTTTTCATTGTTCTTATTTGTATGCATGCAAGGATCTCTTTTCCAGTTGAAAAAAAGCCATTAATTCATCAAAAATATTAAGTAATAATACTGTAGGACAAAGATAAGGTTAAAACAATGATGTTTGGAGAAAACTTCTAGCAATAGAAAAGGAGGAAAAGGGAATGGTTAAAAGTGGAAAATGATATGGCAAGTCCACATAAAGAAACCAGAAAGGGTCCAGTGGGTTCGGAAGTTAGCAGGTCACTGGTTATCTTAGTAAAATAAGTTTGAGTGGAGCAATGGGGACAAAACCAGACTGTAGGGGGTTAAGAAATGAGGAGATGGAATAACTGGCCACTCGTGGGTAGCCTATCCCCTTAAGGAGCTTGGCTGTGGAAGGCAGACAGCTAGAATGATAAAGTAATAATGGGTTGGAGGAGGAAAATTAGGTCAAGAAAAACTATAGAACGTAATAGATGGATGGGGAGTAGGGAGATAACCTACACAGAAAGTTGTACGAGACAGCAGCAGGGAAAGATTAAGTACAGAAGTAAACAGAAGGCACAACACATCTTTCTCTGACTGTGGCAGAAGGATGACTCCCGATGTACCTAAATTTATAGGTGCAGAGGAGAGAAGCTGAGGTGGACCACAGAAAAAATATCCTATATGGTAGGAAAGTTGCACATTTCCTGAGTCAGGGGACAAGGTTGGGATGGGGGCTGGAGAAGAATAAGAATCTGGAATAAATGTCCTATACAAGAGAAAAGCAGATGGGGAACAAACACTGGTGATACACGTGGAGGGCCCACCTGAGGTTGGTCCCCAAAACCATGGATTGCCAACAACTCCTAAGGTCATACAATTTCCACCCTCAGTAATCAGCAGTCCTAGCGGAAATGTCACTATTGGGGGTTTTCAGAGTAGAAGTAGCAGAAGGACAGAGGGCATGGGGTAAAGATGCTGAGAAGGAGAGTAGTTCAAGTAACTGCCCTTGGGGTCCAAGCTCGGTGGACTGAAAAAAAAAACAAGCCGGAAGGGGGTGAGGGGAGATAGAGACAGAAAGAAGTCAAGAAACCAATGGGAGAGTGACTGTGGACCAAAGAGCAGGTCTTCTAGGAATGAGAGTTGAAAACCAGAAGGTGCTCATCAGAAGGTAATGAGTTTCAGAAGTGAGAAAAAAAATCATCCATTCAACAGATACTTGAGAATCACTTACACCAGGCAATGTACTAGGTTAACTAGTTTCTGTCCCCACAGAGCTTAGAGTCTCTTGGGGAAGACACACATTTTAAGAATTATATATACAAATACATATTTACATATATAAATATGTATTTATACATATTATATATACACACACACACAAATGTAATCGTGGCAACTGCTATAAGGGGAAAGTACAGGATTCTTTACAACAAAACAACAGAGGAACCTAACTGACATTGTGGAGGCAGGTGTGGGTCAGGGAGGCCTCTCTGAAAAAGTGATATTTGTACCAGTATCTGAAGGATGAACAGGAGTTACCAGGCCAAAAGTGGAGCGAACATTTTGCAAAGAAACAACATATGTAATTTCTAAGGTTGGTAAGAGCTGGTGCATTGGGGAAAACGGAAGGCTGGAGCACAGTGAGACTTTTTTTTACTTTATTTTACATGAATAACTGAGTTAAGGAGCTGACAAGGGCTCCATTCATTGTGTAAATCTTACAGAATATCTTCTAACAATCTGCAAGGCTTAATCATGTGGAAAAACAATACCTTCATTGGCCTCCCCTTTGAGCACTGGGTCCACGGGGAAACTGGTTCTTGGTTTGGAGGTCTGGTTGTATACATGCATAGCTGGGGAGGGGCTAAGTGAAAATGGACGGGTAGGCAAAGGCTACATCACACAAGACCGGGGACATCACGAGCTTGGATTCTACTCCAAGTGCCATGGAGTGACTGAGGAGTTTTAAACAGGGCGGACCGAATTCATGTCTGTAAAGGACCACTTGGGCTACTGTATGGATAACAGATTGGAGGAAACAGCGCAACCAGGAGACGATGGGAGACGTACAGGTGAAAAGTGACGGCAGCTTGGAACAGGGTGACAGCGGTGAAGATGGATGCTACGTGGGAAGTCATCATGCTACAGTATTTACATGCGGACTGCTCAATCCGCCTTCACATACTCCTAACTGACAACATCAATACCCAAACGCCTGACTTCCTTTTACCCCGATTCTCTCTTTCAAATAACAAACAACTCTAGCATTTTAATCGAGATCAAACAGGGTCGGGCTGGTGCTGAGGGCGGGGGCCTGACACAAATCCGAGAAGCTGACGCTTAGTCGCTGGCCCTGTGGCCCACGGCCCAGGTGAGCGCGCGCCGCATCGTCACTTCCGGCCGCAGGTAGGCCGGCGCGCAAGGCGCGCGCCGGGTCTGAAGGCCGGCTCCCGGCCGCCCCCGCGGATAGACGAGCTCACTATCGCCAGCAGCCGCGGCCGCCTACGGAACCCAGCGGAGCCCAGACATCCCCCACCGACGTTCAACCTGGCCGCCCGAACACTCACCCCTGGGCCGCGCGGCCGCCAGTACGCAAACGTAGACGACGCCGCCGCCAGCAGCTGTGGAACTCGACAACGACCGGCCGCGACGCACGCGTCTTCTGCTCGCCGTAAGCGCCGCCCCCAACAGTGACGGGACGGACTTGCGCGGGTGGGGCCTACGGCGCATGCGCCAGCTGCCGAGTTTATTTGGCACTGCGGGCCAGGCCACGTGGTTTGA